AAAAGATGTTAAGGCAGGAATGCTGGAGGGAAATGTGTGCTAGTCAAGGTATATCAAAATTTGCTGCTGCTGTGTGTGTGTTTCCTTCATGAATTCACAGAGCTCTTAGGTGTGTGGAACCCAAAGCAGTTTAACTAATTCACCCCTAAACAAATGGCCATTGTCAAGGATACAAATAACAATAAATGCTGATTTGTGTGTAGAGTAAGGGGAATTTTTTTATACATCACAGCGCATAGGAGTGTAGAGGAATCCAGACACTTTATAAAATAGTATGGGAATTAAAAAAAAACTAGAAATAGAACTCCTAATGACCCAGAGATATTACTCTTGAACTTGAATCTGAAGGACCCTATATTCTAACAGAAAGATTAATAATGCTCATCCATCTTCATCACTGCTATGTACACAATAGCTACAAAATGGAATCAACCTATATGTCCATCAACTGTAGAAAGAATAGTGAAGATGTGGTATATACATACAGTGCAATTTTATTCAGCACTAAAAATATTATGAAGGGTTTATGTAAAGTAATAAAAATATGTGGAACTATACTGGATGAGGTAATGTTAGCATCTGAGAATTATTGAAAGAAGACATCAGACTCAAATAGTATAAAAAGGCAAAGAATGTTTATTCTGCAGAAACAAGCATGTGGGGAGTCAACCATTCATCAAAATAGTGACCAGGAGAGGATCTCAAGGATCTCAAGGAGGAGGGGATTTCATAGCCCCTTTTTATGCAGGGCTATGAAATTTTTCTGGAAGGGTTTCGAAATCTCTAACATTATTGGCTAGGCATGTGGCAGTTACATTACTACAGTTTCTTATTGGTTGCTATATTAATGTTACCACTTTTGGTCAAGCCTTAGAGAAATTTCAGGAACTGCTCCAGTTCAGGGCTCATTATCTTTCTAGACAAGATGTTCGAGAAACTGACTCAGCTCTGGGCTTATCTTCTCACGCTGCCAAATGTTAGAACTGAAAGTAGGTTAATAACACATTGTCTGTGGCTCTCCTGAGGAGCCTTGCCTGCTTCACTAGGAAATTGAATCATAAGGCCTGACATGGCTGCTTGTTCTAAAATGGAGTGGGTTAAGTCCTCTCAGTAACAGAGGTCCACAAAGAAAAATGCTGCATGTTGTCACTTGTATATGAAATGAATCCTATATTTGAAACTTTAGTTTTGCTTGTTTAATTTGATGTTCAAGTAAAAACTAGAAAACTAGAAATGGTTGGGGTTTTCAGTTTGGTTTTTTTGTTGTTGTTGTTTGTTTGTTGTTTTTTGGTTTGGGGTTGGTTGGTTGGTTGGTTTGATTTGATTGTTTTTGAGACATACTACTAGCTGGCTTGGAACCCATTATGTAGACCAGGCTGACCTTGAACTCACATTGCTCCATCTATTTCTGTCTCAAGTACCGAAACTAAAGCTGTAGGCTACCAGTTTAGAAAAGGGCTCTTGATAGAGGAATGGATTAAGGGAGCTGAGATCATACAATATAGATAAAATGAAAGCAGAGAGGAAGAATACATGGAGTTGAAAGGTTTCATTTGGTGTGGAAGCAGTGGTGTGATAGAGGAGAAAAAAGTTAGGGATGATGATTAACCAAAACGAAGGGTGTATGAAAAATCTGTATGAAAGTTTAGTATCTTATAACGTACTATCTTATGTAATTTTAAAAAGGTTTTAAGGGAGAGAATCAACATGGTTGAATGCTGATGCTTCTAGAATCAGTGGTTACTAAACAAAATTCCCAGGATCCTATATGGAATAATTTCTTATGAGTTGTTGGTTAGGGAAGCCTCAGAATTACCCAAACCAATGCAAGCTATTGTAAAACTATAACTATATAACCCTATAAACATCTCTCTCTCTCTCTCTTCTCTCTCTCTCTCTCTCTCTCTCTCTCTCTGTCTTTTTCTGCCCCCATGTGTGCTAATGTATATTTACAATACATATATGTATACATATGTATATGCATATACATATACATTTACTTGTATGTACATACATGATCAAGCCAGCTCAGTCAGTCAACAGAGTCTCAAGGGAAGAAGTGAGGATTAAAAAAAGAAAAGGCAATTAGACAACATTATAACATGACCTCTGCAAATGCTGAAGCAGGTTTTTTTCCCCCAGTTTGCTTTTATACCGTTCTAGGTATATGCAAAGTATCAGATCAGTTCTAGATCAAAGACAAAGAACAAACAAGACATAAACAAAGGTCTCATTATTACTGTATTCAGAGACTTATTGAGCCAATCAAGACCAAGACGCAAAGAATGCATTCTTTAGCTGTATTCATCTTGAGCCTTTTCCTAGCCCAATGTCAAAATTCTTGTCTGAGCCTATTCTCTTGTCCAACTCAATGTAAATATTCTTGTCAAATTTCTGGAAGCATCCTCAAGAGCTCTCCATATCTCCCCCCTTTTTTTCATAAAAAAGATTGCATCTTTCTTAAGCTGTTGTGACAAGAATGCCTTCCTTACTCATCACTGAACATGTATTATCCAAAGCAATTCATTTCTGTCTTAGGTTTGTAAGGCTCTGTGCAGAATCTTATTCATCATTGACTGCCAGCCTGTTAAATTAATTATGCCATCTGGGGATCCATTTTTAGTTTTAAGCCATGTATTTTGGTGACCAACATGTTAATGTTGTTAAAGGCAAGTTTTATCAAAATGGGCAGGAATAAAAGTATTCCCAGCACAAGGGCCAACAAGATTAAACTATATATGCCATTCATGAAGCTTGACCAAAATAGTTCCTCATGTTGTGGTTACAACCAGCTAGTTTTTGTTGCTACTTTATATCTGTAATTTTGCTACTATTTTGAACCATAATGTAAATATCTATGTTTCCAATGGTCTTGAGTGGCCCCTGTGAAAGGGTTATTTGACCTCCAAAGGTTGAGAACCACTGTCCTAGGTGGAAATCTTACTACCATTTATGAGCTAAATTGATGTAGCACCAAATTATCCTCTATAAATCTGTGTTTATACACATATCAAATGCTACTCTCAAATTTAATCAAAGAAGCCTCTCTTTGCACAGAACAGTAGAAATTCTGTGCTGCTCAAGAATCTGAAAATAAATAACAACTGAGCACTCAGTCCTAACCAAAACACTCCTCAAAGACTCAAAGAATATCCTAAGAAGAGGTGGAATATAAGACCCATGCAGGGAGAAAGGCTCCAAAATACTATCTCTAATGCATGACACAGCCATTGCAAACATAAGCTCACAGCAGCTATGGTTACTGCACTAGGCCTGCACAAGACTGGACCTGTCAAGAGTTAGCCATGGATGGAGAAAGCCTCACCATTCCCTGTTGAATTATTGTCTACAGATAGAATTTGTGAAGGGGAGTCAGTATTTTCAATTGTGTCCCAGTGAGATTCCATGAGATTCCAAACCCATGGTCATACAGATGGCCCTGGTTAACTCGGTGGGTCATAAAACAAACAAACAAAAGTGACAAAAACATGGTAAAGGGATTTGTAGGAAGGGTAAAGATTGATAGAGGTTGGGAGGGAGTAAGAAAGGATAGGGCAATGAGTCATCAGAATGCATTATATGCATGTCTAACAATGTTAAAGAATACATTTAATCCACAAAAACGTGGAGGTAGGACTACCATGTCACTGAGTTTGCTACTTGGTATGCTCTCTCTATCTCTGATGCAAATGATGAAGGTAATGATGATTCCACATGGAAAAGTCAGGTGAAATATTTTTATTTCTATCATTAGCAAAATATAGGAAGGTATATTGGCTTTTTAATGTAGCACATTTAATTTGAGGAAGTCAGTAAGTTAGCATTTATCTAAAGCTGATAAAATCTGACTGTAAAACAGGATCTGGTCAGGGGACAATTGTCACATATTCCTTTGAGCAGCTCTAGCTTTTTGCTTGGTAATCAGGAGGTCCCATAGGTTTCCAATGACCTCTGTGACACTGATGTTAAGCATCATAAATACTTATGGTGTACCTTCTCGAGTTGGATGAAGGCTACACTTCAATCCTTCAAGAGGGCTCCCTTCTGTTCCTATAAATGCCCAGTAAAGTGCTTCGAACACTGTAGAGGCTCTCGATTATCTGATGTAATATTTTGCTAACAGAATAACAAAGCCAGACTTTCCCCTACTTCAATATCAGTATTCAGGAGAACCGCACTTGTAGGAAGGTATCAGGCTTATTCAGGAACTGGCAATCTTGAGAAGACATTAGAGGGTTTGTATTTTTGCCTCAAAGCTCTACCATGGGTCATGAGTAAGGATTCATGGAGAAGGGAAGTAGTTACAGTGTTCAGGAAGATTACATGGGTGGGATCTTTTTGTTCAGAGGTGGATGTCCTTCTTTGGTCAGAACACATCAGTGGACTTGGACCTCTGGTAGCTAAACTAATATGAGAAAAGGGTTCTTTTCTGCAAAACCGATTGGGAGGGGGCAGAAGAGCTCCATGAGTGAAGGGAGAGGACAGTTTTAGAGTTGTTAATTTGTTTTTCTAAATTCTTGCATTGCATGGTAGCGTTACATGACAGTTACCCTGCTTCCAGAACTTGGGAGAGTAAACTCTGCACTGCTAGAAATTGCCTGTGCAGGTTTAACTTCAGGGAAGTAGAGGAAGTCTAGTGAAGACTTTTCTTTGTGTTTGAGAATCATCTCATGATTTTAAGCCACACACCAGACTGTTCACATTCTTTGTCATCCTTTGCCCCATTCCATCCATCTACTCCCCCATCTCTGGATAGAACACTTGTTCAATGAATTTAAATGTGAAGTAATGAACGGAAAGAGCAAGAACAGATTGAAGTGAGTAAATTTACAGGCTACAAAGACTACAGGAGACTCAGAAATTCTCATGAATTGCACATTTATTGACTGAGGAGGCAGTGGAATTGGGAGGTAGTTATTCAGAAACCAAGATGAAAAATCAGCAGAACAAGCTACACCTTGAGCGACTCAATGGCTTACTCAGGGGGTGGGGGTGGGTGGGGGGAGGGGCAGCGCTTAAAATGTGAAGGGTTTGGAAACCTCAGGCAAATTCATGAGAAAGTTAAGCCCATAGGCGCCCACGGAGAACTCTTCCAGCTCTGTTGTCTCCGTTGCAGCCTGGTGACCTTACTTGCACGGCCAGGAAGGCGCCTGCTTCTGCTGGGTCTGGTGGCAGACTGGCACACCCTTGCCACCTCCAGAGCCGCCCCCGGAGGAGCCGCCGCCGCAGCTGGAACCACCGCCGCCGCCTCCAGAATAGCCGCCTCCGCAGCCCCCGCCGCTGCCCCCGGAAGAGCCGCCGCCACAGCCACCGCCGCCTCCGGAGTAGCCTCCACCGCAGCCACCGCTGCCGCCGCCGCCACCACCACCGCTGGAGTAGCAGCCGCCGCCACCGCCGCCTGAGGAACCACCTCCGCAGCTACCACCTCCGCCGGAAGAACCCCCTCCGTAGCTCTGCTGGGGGGCGCAGGAGGTCTGACTGGTCTGCTGGGAGGAGTAATAGCCCCCGCCGCCGCCAGAAGAGCCGCCGCCGCAGCTGCCACCGCCACCGCCGGAATAGCCGCCGCCGCTGCCACCGCAACTGGAGCCACCGCCAGAGGAACCGCCTCCACAGCTGGAGCCTCCGCCACCAGAGTAGCCGCCACCGCAGCTGGAGCCTCCGCCACCGGAGTAGCCGCCGCCGCAGCTGGAGCCACCGCTAGAACCGCCTCCGTAGCTCTGGCACTGATACTGTTGGGACGATCCCGAGGAGCCGCCGCCACCACCGGAGGAACCACCTCCGCAGCTGCTGCCGCCGCCACCGGAGTAACCGCCGCCGCCGCAGCTGGATCCACCACCGCCTGAATAGCCGCCGCCACAGCTAGAGCCGCCGCCGGAGTAGCCGCCGCCGCAGCTGGAGCCACTGCCGCCACCGGAGTACTTGCCCCCTCCAGAACCGCCGCCGCAGCCACCGGAGCTGCCGCCTCCGGAGGAGCCTCCGCAGTAGGAGCCGCCGCCTCCCGATCCGCCTCCACAGCTGGAGCCGCCGCCGCCGCCGCCAGAGTAGCCACCGCCGCAGCTGGAGCCGCCGCCACCGCCACCGGAGTACTTGACGCCCC